GGGGGGGGGGGTAAGATACACTTTAAAGAAGCCATCTGGGAAGGGTTGATGATCATTTCCAAACTCGGTGGAGTCTATCGTTCTACAGAAAATCTTACTAGGAGCGGATGTCTCAGCAAGTTCAACCCAAAGGGCAGACTGTACAAATGAGCTCCTCCACAGACTCTACAGGCCTCAGTTGGCAGATTAAAGGTCAAAGATTATTTTCACTAAAACAGCCCAAGTTAGGTTTGGAAAGTCTCGGCTCWAAAGGAAAAGAACAAGAACAGATAGCTTGATTAAATCCTGACATGTAAAACCGTAGAATTTGAAAAAATGTAGACTTGAAGAGTCAGAAATTCAGGGGTCACTCACCCAAAAGTTTGTTGACGTTATTCTTCTGTAGATGGCCGATGAAGTGCCATTTGATTTCCGGACACGATTCTAAAATCTGAATTAACGCAGAGGAAAACTTATCACAGAACCAAACCCACAAATAYTGGCTGTAACCTTTAAAAACACAAACCCACCAAAGGATCCGAAGCTTTGTCCACGAGCTCGTTGACCTGTTTGGGAGGCGCAGAGAAAAGTCYGTTACTTTCAGAGTTTGTTCGGCGGGACACCAGCCGTGTTTTCTACTCACGTAATTCTCTCCAAAGTTGCGCTGCCCTTGTCTGTAGGCCTCCACGATCAACTCGGGGGGCTTCGTCTTGCTGACGGCGACGAGGCGAGGCGGGACGGCCGGGACCGCCTGCGGAAGGACGAGACGTTCTTCGTCAGTACCATCGGCCCAGAGTGACGCAGGATGAATTTGTTTTTGCACAGCGACTCACCGGGAGGGTTATTTTTTGAACAAACAATAAGAAAAGTGGCCGGTGCAAAGCTGAGATGCTGTTAAATATCAGAACAGTTTGGTTTACTGGGAACACACTGAGCATTCAAACAAGCTTCCACTCAATAATCTTCAACTGAGAGAACCGTGCCAAAAAAAATCTCTCTTTTTTTGTTTTATTTTGCTTCCAAGCAGCCAGATGTTTCATAATCTTTTAGATATCTCACAGAGTAGATCTTTCTGGAGGTCTTTCAAGGTTTTTCTTTGGACTTTTGCTGCTGTGTCCAGGCATAAAAAAAACTCTCTCAAAGATATAATTTGTTCCCTTTTCTGTAGCCGAACCTAAAAAAGAAATCCCAAACGTAACAGCTTGACCCACACAAAATGAGACGCTGTTAGCCCAGAACGTGACCTACGCTAGATCAACTGAAGGATAACGTGTCTCTGCTGGATTTTCTCCCCTTTTTGAAGAAACGTGACATTCAGTAATAAATCACACTTTTACTTTTGTCCTCCTCTAGCTCAGGCTCAGCTCTCAGTGGTTTTTTTTTAAAGAAACAGCACAATGATGAGAATAGCAAATTTAGAAATCACCTGTCACGTGCATGTCCTTCAAATACAAAAATACTTTTTTATACTTTTATAATTTAGTCACATGACTGGCACATTTTCTTTTGAATGCAGCTCTAAAGATAGGATTTAACATATAAATTTAATTGTAGATTTATTTACACATATTTAACAGTTAGCAAAAATTAGCCAAATGAGCTAAATAACAGTAAAATGTTAGAAAAATTAAACTGGGATTTTACACTCAGAAACAGAGCTAAATAAATATCTAAACATATTATTTTACTTTCTAATACGTGTCAGCAGTGGTGGGCAGCACGAATATAAAAATTAGGTCCACTAGCCCTAAAACACTAACTCAAATATCTAGGTCCCCTAATTTTAAAGCACTAATGCACTGAAATTTTTAGCAAAAGCTAATTCTAAAGCACTAAACTAACCCAGTCAACCCATGAACATTCTTCAACAGACAACGAGTCACATGTCGAAATGTTGATCTCTTAAGACTTATTCACAGTCCACAGTTGGATTTGAGTTCATATATTGTCAATATGTCACCTGGTGGATAAGTGACAAGAACAAAATGAGTGACAGCTTTCACCTTCTGCTGTTAACATTAATGTTGATCAATAACTTTTATAAAAAGGGATTTTGATAAAGTCAAGTTTTTGTAATTTTTCCCCCCGCTTGTTTTCATGCTGACCCTCTGCTTAGCATTTCGAAATTTATCTTAAGGTTTTATATAGTTTGTTTTCTGCTTTGGTTTGAAAAATCATGAAATTGTGACGCACACTACGTCTACGGAGCTCTGCAATTTTTTTTTTTTTTACGTTATAATGGAAGTCAAGGGAGCACTTGCTTCCTAATTTTCAGCCTTTAAAGACCTCTAAATCCTTAATGGGTGGTCCGATTAAAAAAAAAACACTAAATAGTTTTGGAATCTGTACAAAAAGGAAAAACAGCTCTACAATAAGTTTGAAAATTTTATTAAAATCCCTATGGTACCAGAGGTTTATAGCAACTAAGTCCATTTACTTTGTTACAGTACTTAAGTAGTTGGTTTTTTTTTTTTTGGAGGATTTGCAATTTTACCATTTTTTTATTTTTTGTTACATTTTAAAGCTAAAAATGATACTTTTACTTCTTTACTTTAAATGTACTTTGTTACAAAATTAAATATGTTGGAACTCATGAAAGATGTTTCTGCACTCTAAAAAAACAAAGTGTTGAATTTACTCAACAAAGTCAGGTCAACTGGCTCCACTAAGCCTAGTTGAGTAAATTGAGCAAAGAATAAACATATATTGATCAATTTACTCAAACTGGTTTAGTGGAACCAGTTTGGTTCAGTAAATTTTTATTTCTTAGAGAGTGYGTAAAAGTACTTTTACTTTTCCAATTTTTGTGAACAGTTTTAAGACTTTTACTTGAGTAGTTTTCTCATAAGTGAAATGTATTTGTACCAGTCATTTTCTCTTCATGTAATTTTACTTTTAGTTATTTTTTCCAAGTACTTTAGTGCTTCTAAATTTAGCAAGAGCTAATCCACTAATATTTTTTAAATGCAACAAAAGCCCTAAAGCACTAATCAGGAAGTTAGTTCCCCTATTAGTGCTTTAGTGGAACTGTGCCCACCACTGCATRTCAGTTTACTTCTCTCAGCCTCTCCAGGCTCTCTTCCACCTGCTCCCTACTCTCACTATAGAGGTCTTCTGCAAGCATGCCGTTTCCTGTTTTTAAAAGAAAAACTTTCAAATACCTCCAGAAACCCTTAAAAGATTACAAGTATAAAAYAAAGAAAATGATGTTGGCAGAGCACATAATCTCAAAGGACTTCATGAAATGTCACTTAGGCTAAATGGAGCTGATCAAAAGCACGTGCTTTTATTTTAATTCAGAACCATAAAATAAAGAGTTAAAGTGGCGTCCAGATGATCTACATGCACGCATTAACCACGCTGCCAGTTTAAATCATGCATCGTGTTGTCAGAGTGCTGCCAGGAGAAAGGTTGAACATGATGTTTTGGCAGCCTTACGTAACACAACCGGTCGCGTTTTCTGCACCGACACTTGTTCTATCCGCGCGCCGACACCGCAGCGTCAAGAGCCGGCGCCGCCGAGCGGAGACCTCCCCGGACCGCGGTTACCTTGGGCCGCCGCGCCGCCGCCTGGTTCACCCGCTCCAGCACGGACTGCACCGCCTTGCCAATCTCCCCCGACATTGCTACTTTCCACATGAAACTGCGACGCAAAACGAGTCGTGGGGCTTGACGTAAAAGCGCGGTGACGACAATCCGCTTTCAAATTAAAAGTCCGGTTGAAAAAAAATCACAGAAAAAATCTTAAGGCTTAGAAAAATATCCATTTCATAAATACATAAAAACATAACTATCAATAGAGTGAAGACTAATGTTGTTCCGCAAAACTTAAATCCAAGCGTTTTTCTTAAAAAAAAAAAAAAAAAGCAATCGATTAACTACTTCCGCTTACGACCGGAAATACATCCATTAATAATTTTACAGGGGATTAAAGGTTACAAAAATAACATAAATACATAAACATATTCTAGATTGTGAACAACTACAAAAAAATTCTGTAGTTTTTGATTCGGTTTTGTTATTAAAGTTTGCTTATTAAAAATTTAACATAGCCGGATTATTAACAGAGCGAGCTGAAGCGTCCCCTGCCGGTCAAAGCTCGACATTTCAGTCTACTTTGTCTGTTCTTTATTCAAAATAAATAAGTAGAATTGTAAAGTAACTAAGTACAAAAACTTTGTTACTGTACTTAAGTAGAATTTTTGGGCATCTGTACTTTACTTGAGTAATTATTTTTCAGCCTACTTTTTACTT